CATCCCTGGTTTCTTCAGCTGTCCATTGGTCATTCAATAGTGTGATATTTTTAGTCTCCAGGTGTTAGAGCAGCTTCTATTTTTTATGTTATCGTTGATTTCTAACTTCATTCCCTTAGGATCTGATAAAATGCAAGGTTTAATCTCTATTTCTTTGTATTTGCTCAGAGTTGCTTTGTGGCATAAGACAATGGTCTGTTTTAGAGAAGGATCTGTGTGCTGCTGAGAAGAAAATGTGTTCAGTCATTGATGAATGAAATATTCTATATATGTCTGCTAAATCTAAATTATTAATTATATTTTTTAGTTCTACAGCTTCTTTAGTTTTTGTTTGGAAGATCTATTGAGTTGTGAGAGAAGTGTGTTAAAGTCACCCAGTATTATTTTGTTACGATCTATTTGATTCTCAAAGTTGTGAAGGGTTTGTTTGGTATATGTTGAACCTCTTTTTTTCTTTTATTTATTTATTTTTAACTTGTTCTTTTTAGATATACAAGACAGTAGTATGTATTTTGACGTATTATATATACATGGAATATTCCTTTGCTCTTATACAGACTATTTTTCCTATTTTTTTTTAACTCCCAAATCTTTTAATTATTTATTGCTTTTCTTTTCCTCTTTAAAATTTTATTGATTCCCTATTGTTTTGAATTAAAACAAATCAACACACCAGATTTTTAATACCATGGCAAATAGCCCAGAATTCATTTCATGAACTAGATTTTAACTCAGAGATACTAGGCCATTCCTCATTATTTGAAAAAGTCTTTACTGAGCCGAGCTGGGTGGCACATGCCTATAATCCCAGTGACTCAGGAGACTGAGGCAGAAAGATTGCAAGTTCAAAGCCAGCCTCAGCCATTTAGTTAGGCTCTATGCTACTTAGGGAGATCATCTCAAAATGAAAAATGACTGGGGATGTGGCTCAGTGGTAAAGCACCCCTGGGTTCAATCTCCAATAAGTCTTTATAATTCTGTGACTAAGACTTAAATTGGCTGATCTATGTCCTTTTGTACCAGCTTTTCTTAAAATGTGTTTTGATAAAAATTTCAAATTAGTGTTTCAGCTCAATTCAGTCTGTTCCAATAAAATCTGTGTCGTCATTCTTCATTCACAAAGAATCCATCACAAGATGACAAATGTATGTTAAAATTGCAAATCTACTTTGGTGCCTCCTTTATAATTATTGCCATTGTGATTGTCTGTTTTTCATGGATTTTTGTGTTAGGTCATATTTAAGCTGCTTCCAAAGACTGCTTTTGTATCACTGCAGAATAAAACCTATAATGTGCCTGTCCACTGTCACCAGTTAAAATGTCCTGTATTTAGCTATCTTCATTGTATCTTCTCTAATCCAGGGTTTCCACTGAATGTCTTGTGTCTCCTGCCCCAGCTGATCCAGCATTTTGAAAATCCCAATCAGTTCTGTAAAGATATAGCCGAAAGGATTGCTCAGGTATGAGTTTCAGTTCCACATTCAGGCAAGTCCATATGGGCCTGCAGGAAGGCCCAGTGTCAGTCAGAAATGACCAGGCCCAGGGAAGCCAGTGATTTTTCTCAAATGTGAGTGTCTGATGCATACTGTCTTCTTTGATTATTAAGAAAAACAAGTGGAAAGAACTTTTGGAAATTGTATTAGCTAATTACTAAGTTAAGCCCTGCTGTGACTACCACAAGTTCTGTCAGTCTTCTTTCCAGACTATCAGGATTTATAGCAAAATTTGCTAACATTTCTTCGTTTCATTGGAACACTTTATCCTTAATTGCTTTTCTTATCTTAAAAGGTTTGTTTGGAAGAGAAAAACCCTAAACTTTCAAATCTTGCACACGTTATGACTCTTTATAAAACACACAGCTATACAAGGGACTGTGCCACGTGGGTCAATGTGGTCTGTCGATACCTTCACGAAGCATATGCTGACATTACCTTGAACATGGTCACCTACCTGGCAGAGGTAAGCTTTAAACTAAGGATAACATCCATTATAGCGTCTCTGGTTAAATATTCATATGGAACTGATAATATACCTTCAACTTCTGTTTATTGAGTCCCTGCTACATATTATTATAGATACTAATGGAAGCATCTCAAATCTTCACAACAAGCCAGTGATGTGGTTATTATAATAAAGAATCTGAGGCTCTGCCAGGTTAAGTTTAAGGTGGCAGAGCAGGTCTTTGATCCCAGATCTAGCTACTTCCAAAGCTTAAACTCCTGTTTATTAATACCTATCAGCATGACAGAGATGTGAAAATCTTATCCTAATTATTCTGAGTGTTCAAATCTTATTTAAGGAGTTACTGTGTATCTTGATGTGTTTAATGGTTGTTTGCTCTGAAGTAATTAACAAAAAATACCTCCTAAAATAAAAGTGTTTATCATTACCTTTTTTTTTAATCAAATTGGAATGTGTTTGTAGCGCAAACATTACAACCCAAACTCTAATTTTCTGTTTCTGTTTGTGCTAGAAATATATAGCATTTCACAGGTAGTCCTATGGTCCCAACAAATTTAATATGCAAGGTCATAAAGTCCTTATCCAAAGAGATAAGGGCAATCTATCCTAACTTTTCTTTTAGTTATATCACCAATATAGGTTTCAAATAAGTTAAAAAGTCAACCATTCCTCAAAGCCTCTACAAGACTGAATGGTTCAGGCTGGGGCTGTGTCGTTCAGTGGTAGAATGCCTGCCTCACAAGTGTCAGGCACTGGGTTCAATCCTCAGCACATAAAGATATTGTGTCCATCTACAACTAAAAAAAAAATTTTTTAAATTGAAAGTATCTATGTAGCATAAGGTACAAACCCATAAAACAATATTTGCAGTTGACCCTGCAGGATTCTGCCTGACAGTATGGATCAGCATTCTATGGGCTACATCAGACCATCAGCAGTCCAGGATTTATTTACTCTTTCCCCACCTGCATACCTAGTATTTTAAGGATCTCTCACAGTGCCACTCCAGTGCTTTTGATAATCACCTGGTCACAGTTGTCCCTACACATACCTCGGCACACAATAAGTACTGGGAGAACTGTCACAAACATCCTGTTTACAAGGCAGATAATGGTGCCTGTTTTAAAAGAAGATATAGTGTGTGATAGAATAGAAAGAGGCAATATTTGTTTGGAATACTAACCATGATAGTTTCAAAAGTGTAAATGGAAGGTGGGACACACACACAATGGAATATCATTAGCCTCAAGAGACAGAAATTCTGACACATGTTTCACCATAGATGAGCCTTGAGTACATAATGCTAAGTGAAATAAGCCAGATACAAAAGGAAAATATCATGATTCAACATACTTGAGGCACATAGATTAGGCAAATCTATAGGAGCAGAATATATATATATATATTGATTACCAGGAGCTGGGGGCAGTAGGTAGGAGATAGTTATTTTATTGGTATAGAATCTCAGTATGGAGTGATGAGCAAGTCCTGGAAGTACATAATGATGGCTGCACAGCAATGTGAATTGATACCACTGAATTGCACACTTAAAAATGGTTAAAATGGTTATGATGTGTACTTCACCACACACAAAAAAAAATATATTAAAATAAGTCACCTAATTTGTTCTGTTCTGCCCTTATCACAAAATTGTCACCAAAAATTTTTATTATGAACTTACCCAACTTTCCACCATATATAATCCAATTAACGTCTGTTTCAGTTACCTGTTTTTTCAGGTCTTAGCCACGCACATATGTCTAACTGTGTGGCAGTGGGCAGTCCTTGCATTGCACCTGCTCTGTTTATGCTAATTCTGTGTATATCTCCATGTGTTGACCTAACTCACAGGATGCTGTTTTGAATAACCCTGGAATTCTGTCAGGTTCATGTAAAACTTCAATCGTTTCCCTTTTGTTGCTTATGTTCATAATTCATTCTATTAGAGGGGGTCCTGTTATGTAGATCTTTTATCAAATGATATTTGATATTTTATCAAGTGATCACTTATATTATCTAAAAATATCAAGTGATCCCTTTTCCCAAAGTATAATTACCCAGTCAAAAGACACGACTATGTGGGTATGTTACTACATTTGAAAAATTGGTCTCCACAGAGAATTTCCTAATTTACAATACTAACATGTATAAATATTTTTTGTGTGGCTATATTCCTACTAAATTTTGTCACTGCAGGTATTCATTTTTCTGTATGATGCTTTTTATAAATATTGTCAGATTATTTTCTTTATGTATTTCCTTTCTGGTGAAGATATTCAATTTTCCACACAATGGATTTACGTAACTGTTTACTTCCTCCTGTGTGAGCTGTTCTGTTATTTCCTTTGACCACTTTTGATGTGGAATTTCAGGATTTATTTGTATCATTTCTATCAATCCTTTATTTTGAATAGCAAACCTTTATCATGATGCCTAACATAAATATTTTCTCACTATTCTGTTTTTCTTTGAGACAATATCATTGGCTTTTTTCCTGATTATAAAAGGGAAAAAAAAAGCTCATAACAGAAAATTTGGAAGGTCCAGAACATTATTTTTAAAATAAAGAAAAAGCATCACCCAAAATTATTTTATTTAGAGAGAAATACTATTTCTGTACAACAAACATATCCATTTCAATTTTGGCATCAACTGTTGTTATGTAGCTAATCTGTATGCTCTTTGTCCATGTTTTTTATTGGTGTATCCTAGTTGTAAGTAGTGGCAGGATTCATTGTTACATCTTTATACATGTGCACAATATAATTTGGCCAATATCATTTCCCAGCATTTCCCCATTCTCTCCCCTCCTCCCTGCCCCTGATCCCTTTGCTCTCTATTTTACTGAACTCCCTTTGATTTCAACGAGATCTGCCCCCACCTTTCTTTTCCTTTTTCCTCTCTCTAGCTTCCACATATGAGAGGGAACATATGACCCTTGACCTTCTGAGTTTGGCTTATTTCACTTATTTCATAGTGGTCTCTAGTTTTATCCACTTTCCTGCAAATGACATAATGTCATTGTTCTTTTTGGCTGAATAAAACTCCACTGTGTATTTTTTTTTTTTTATCCATTCATCCATTTATGGACACCTAGGCTGGTTCTGTAAGACAATTATATATGCTTTGTCTTCAACTTAATATCATCTAATATGCTTTGCTGTCTTTAAAACATTATTCTATTAACTACATAATAGTTCACAATGTAATTTACTATTAATTTATATATCAATTTCCCTGATGTTCAATATTTAAATTGCTTGTAGTGCTTTCTTGTTTTGTGTATGCTTTTTTAACCATTTAATTACAGAAATCTCATACATTCACTCTGATTTCATAGTGTTTATCTCTGGTTTTGGAAAGAAATGTTCCTAAGAGTGTAAATATTATTCCAAAAATATGGACCTCTTTATTGCTCATGATCTCAAATAACAAATTATCCAATTTACATTTCTACTGATGTATAAGAATACCTAATTCCTTTTCTCCTTACCAATACTAAATATTGCCAGTTTCTAATCTTTGCCAATTTCATAACTGAAAAATTATATTGCAATTTATAATTTATATAATTTATACAATTTATAATTGTTGATGATTAATGTTGTTTGATGCTTTCCTTTTGAGATTAATTTTTTTAATATTACATGTGTACATTTTATGATGTCCCTGTGCCTTTGATGGTATCTCCATTTCCTCAGAAGTTAGGATCTTTTATTTTCCCTCCTAATATGCAATGGTAAAGATCTGGGGAAACCTGGGTGCTTCTATGGGAAAGTCCTGTGTAGAGCTAACTTCACCTGCACTTTACCTCCCACAGTTGCTGGAGAAAGGTCTCCCCAGTATGCAACAGCCCCTCCTCCAAGTGATCTACAGTCTGCTCAGCTACATGGACCTTTCTGTTGTTCCTGTCAAGCAGTTTAATGTGGAAGTTCTTAAGACTATTGAAAAATACGTGCAAGTGAGTATCTGCATAAGTTTACTTATCAGCAGAGTCAATCCAAAAAGACTGAGACTTGTCTATAATTTGTCCTTGGGTACAAAGCCTTATGGGCACTAGATCATGTATTCATTCCTTGGTATCCATGACAAAGGAAGGGCAGTCCAGCCAGGTGGTTGACAGCATCCTGAGTGGCACTCTGAGAAGACAGAATGAGGCCTTGGCACATTCCTGACCTTCAGAGGGCACAGTTCTGCCTACTGGGGCTTGTAGGCTGCATATTAAAAGCACACACCTGGCTGGGAGGGCAGGGGCAGATCTTATTTCTGGTATCTCATTTCAAAGGAGGAGGAGGGACAAGGAACTTGTATGCGTGCCATGTACCAGGTTCCAGACCAGGTGCCTCAACATGTGAAAAGTTACTCAGCAGTTAAAATCCCCACTTTAGAGTAAGCCAACTAAGGTTAAGATACTTGCATAAATGTTCTTTAAAACACTCCAACTGTTTGTTGAGATCATAAGTAAAATGACAATGTGAATAACTAATAAGAGTGTCTGGAGGTTCATTATGCTAGTCTCTGTTTCTGTGTTATTTTAATATTTCCATCATAAACAGTCTTGAAAGATTTAATAAAAACAAAAATCAACCAGAGACTGGCCCCAAGATCTCAGTTAGTAGAGGGTGGAGCTGGTATTTGAATCTGGCTCCAAAGTCATTTCTTTTGTTTCACTGAACCAGGCACCCAGCACAGCAGAACACTTGGTGAACATCAATAAACACCTACAGAATGTTTCTTTAAAGCCATATCCTGAGACTCCCCAACTGGGTGGGGGAAGAGGTGGGGATTAATAGAAATAAAAGAAAAATATAAGTAGATCTCAAAGGAGCAAAGAGAACAGAAACCGTTTCTAGAGCCTAGAAGTTTATCTGAAGCACACACCACAGACTGAACATAGGGAGCGCAGGCTTCTCCACATCTAGTTGTTCCTCTCTTTCTTCTCAGGAGTGTGCGTGGAGAGTTGCAGAATTCAAGAGCAAACACTAGGCTTGCTCTGGCAAATCTCACTGACAGGTAGTGTAAAGTTTAGATATTCCTTTCCATCTCCACCAATGACAATTACTAGAATTATTTAATGCTAAAAGTTGTTTATTTTTTTTTCTTCACTTTTAAAGTGCCAATGATAGTTGCGCCACAAGATAGGCATTCATTCAATAAGAATTTCAGCACTCACGGGATGAGGGGGTCAGCTACATCTTTCTATTAATCATGTGGCCCGTTTTCTTGTTGTATTAGTAGGATGTTCACTCTGTCCTGGGCTTGCAGGCCATCTCTGGTACTTAATTTCTTATCTTGAATAATGGCTAATTTCATATTTAATCCATGATTTCCCTTGTGCAGAATTTAAGGAAGGAGATGTATTTTATTTATTATTATAAAAATAATTACAATTGTTATTAAGTTGCTTTAACTATGTTCAATATTTTTGTGGGGGAAGTACCTCTTCCCACAAGTCAAGAAAACAAAGATGGTAAAACAAACTAATTGTTAAAGAAGAGCAGGAAGTTGATATATATTAAGGAAAGGAAAAGCATTCCAGGATGAGGGGATAGCATAAGGAAAGGCACAGAGGCCAAAGAGACCTTGCCTGGCCTAAGGTACTCTAGTAGTAGCTGCATGGAATGAGATCTGCAGGTCATGCTCAGAGTGTGGACACCACCCTGTCCACTAGAGGGAGCCATTGAAGCATGGAGATAGAGACTCTCTGAGAGCCTACTCTGAAGAGTTCTAGAAAGATCAGGGTAGCTGATTCTAAGGCTAGCTAAGGGGCCATTGAAATAATCTGGGCAGGGCCAGAGAGAATTCCACTGAGTTTAAACAGGGAAAGAAATATCAAAGGGAAAGGTAGGAGGAGTTAAGAAGAGCTTCCAGAATCCTGTGTTAGGTAACAAGAAAGATATGAAGTGAGAAAAGAGATCAAGAGGCCCAGGAATAAAATGGAACAAGAAGACCCAAAGAAGTCAAAGGATCAAGGAAGACTGAAACCTAGAACCTGGAGGGGGGAGAACTTTGAGAAAGAGTGAATAGTCAACAGCATAACATTTTAGCATTGGGAGCTTTTTTTTTTTTTAATCAAATTAAGGAGGTAGCTCCTTGGCAAAAATTGTACTTGTGATTTTTTTAACTTTATTCATTTGAATACAGACAAAATGAGTCTTTTTTATTTGCTTATTTCCTAAATGTAGCTCATTTTAGATATAAATGGTCTACTTATATCATTCGCCTTTTACTTATCACCGAATTCCCTACATGTTTTAAGTCAGTCAATTTCAGCAGCAGTTAGCTTTCCAAAATGAAGTTGTTTTTAACCTTGAGTGTTTTATTTCTTACAGAGCATTCACTGGAGAGAGGCTTTGAATATCTTAAAGTTGGTCGTGTCTCGATCGGCCAGCCTGGTGTTGCCTTCCTACCAGCACAGTGACCTCTCAAAGATAGAAATACATCGTGTGTGGACTAGTGCTTCCAAGGAACTACCTGGAAAAACCCTGGACTTTCACTTTGACATTTCAGAGGTACTTAACTTTGTTAGCTGTTTCTGTGAACTTCAGCATGAACTTATGATGGCAAAAGTTACAAGTAATTTCCTGAAGAAGGGAAGACTTATATTTATTATAAACAAAGACTGCAAAGGTCTAAATTTGGTTCCATTCTATTAAGAACACACTGAAGGGCTGAGGATGAGCATGTATAAGCCCCTGTGTTTGATGCAAAGCACCATAAAAAAGAAAGAAAAGAAAACTGAATTTCATATTCTCTGGGGCTCACAATTGGCAGCTTTAAGAAACAGAATCTAACCTAGCTGGGTGTGGTGATGCACGCCTATAATCCCAGCAGCTCGGGAAGCTAAGATAGGAGGATTGTGAGTTCAAAGCCAGCCTCAGCAACAGTGAGGCACTAAGCAACTCAGTGAGACTCTGTCTCTAAATAAAATACAAAATAGGGCTAAGGATGTGGCTCAGTGGCCAAGTACCCATGAGTTCAAAACCTGGTACCAAAAAAAAAAAAAAAAAGAAAAGAAACCTCAGTTATATGAAAAACAATTTTTTAGAAAGCTACTTTAAAATGGAATATTAAACATTGTAAGCCATGTCACTCATTCTTTATCTTACAAGTATCATGTCATATCTTTCTAGCCATAACCTTTTTCTCCGATCTATACCAGATCCATAAATGACTGCAGTTTGGAATTACAGGAATATGGAATCCACCTTTATGGTTGCCTTGAACAGGGTAAGGGAAAGAGAAATTAAGAACCCATGCTACAGAATTGAGGGAAAAAAGAAAGGACAAAAAATGGTCAGATTTACCTGCTGCTTCCTGAGCCTACCTTTGGGTGCCTGTACTTAATTAAGTCTAAAGTATAACATAACTTGACTTTTGTATCTCTTATCCCATGACCCATGTAGCATGCCCCCTCCAAAGCAGAAACTACTCTGCTGATATTTATAATCAGAGCCTGGTGGTACCATGTCTGGTGCACAGAGATTGTTAACAATTATTTCCAAACACTGCTGAATTAATGCATTCCCCAAGAGTGGAGAAAAAAATGGGATCTGCTTATGTGGAACCCCCTTGCACTCTTAAATAGGTTACATCCAGGTTGCTTCTTTGACACAATAGTATTCACTGACTTCTTGTTTCAGTATTTGAGATGAGATACCCTTGCTGCACTGTGACGCCTGCATCTATATTTAGTATATAAATAATATTAAGATATTGATTCAATCTCTATGCATCATTTTTACTTGCTAGGGAGAAAGTTATTTTTATTCTTAGACTTGCGTTTATTCTACTCCCAAGAGATATAATATATAAATAGCCAGTTAGCTGCATCCCTCAACACACAGAGACCCAGAAATACTCCAGAATGATGAGCCTTAGGAGCCAGGTGTAAAATTACCAGTCAGTTCCTGCCACCTCTGAGGACAGGCCTGTGAGCTGGTGTCTGCAGCAGAGACCTTCCTGGGACTCAAGTTTGGGAGGCACTGTCTACCACACCCCAAGGCTTTCAGGAAGTAGAAGTTCTAAAGTGTTGCCCAAGTACCTGGTTCTGACCTCATCCATTTAAATAAAATTGAAAAGATACACATAATGTAACCTTTTAAAAATGAAGAGTACCAGGCACAGTGGCACATGCTTGTAATCCCAGGAGCTCAAGAGGCTGAGGCAGGAGGATCATGAGTTCAAAGCCAGCCTCAGCAATGGTGAGGTGCTAAGCAACTGAGACCCTGTCTGTGAAGAAAATGCAAAATAGGGCTGGGGATGTGGCTCAGAGGTTGAGTGCCCCCGAGTTCAATTCTAGTACCAAAAAAAAAAAAAAAACCTTAAAAAAAAATGAAGAGTATTTAAAGATTGATGATTAGCGGTTGGAGAGAGGGGAAGGAATTTTGGCCTTTCATTATAACTGGCAGAAGTTCTTCCTTATAGTTAAACGTCTGAAAACTGTTAGCTTTCCTCCATGTTTTGCATCTAATCTTTTCAGTGGTTTCTAAAGCATATTAAAGAACAAGTTCTTGAATTTGTTTTCTACTGCTAAAGAGGATGGGAAAATATTGAAGATAAAAAATGATTCAGAATGTATATTTGAACATTAGGGAAATGAGCTTATATGTAACACTAAACTTCTAGGACCTACTTTGAATCACTTGAGCATTTTTCAGTTGCTGCTGGGTAGAACAGTCCCATTTTATATACCACAGAATTATTAATGAGATGGAAGAATGAGTGTTTTGTGGTTTTTTTCTCCAGACACCAATCATTGGGAGGCGGTATGATGAACTACAGAATTCTTCTGGGCGTGATGGGAAGCCTAGGGCCATGGCAGTTACCCGGAGCACATCATCCACCTCATCAGGCTCCAATTCCAATGTTCTTGTTCCAGTCAGCTGGAAAAGGCCTCAGTATTCTCAGGTATACAATCCTAGACATGCATTGTTAGAAGGCAGTTTAGAGGACCTACCGAGTCCAGCTGCCCATGTGATATTGGATTCCTCCATGCCCACTCACAACATTTTTTCATCCAGACAGCAACACTTCCAGTGATGAGTCTCACAGCATTCTGAGGACACCCATTTTATCTTTGAACAGCTCATTATGTGGAGTTGAAGTTGGACTCTGTTACTTCTACTCATTGATTCTAGTTTTCTTAAGGCTTAGAAAACAAAAATCTTTCACATTGCAGCAGCCCTTCAAACAGTCAATTCCATGGGTTTTAGACACCCAAAGAGTCAATAGGGCTGTACACTAAAAGACCATTCTGGCTCCTCTTAGGAGCATCGACTTTAATCATGATCTCCATGCATAGGCTGAGTGGAGGGGGCTGCTAGACTTCTCTGTAGTTTGATTATATAGCCTAGGACTGTATTCAGTTTACAGATGACTGTGTCAAAGTACTGATGTCATTGGGCTTAGTCAGGTAAAACACTGCATTATTCAAAAGTCTTTTAGTGCTGTAGCAGAAATCCACTGAAAATTTTCCTGAAGTAGAAAAGGAATTAAACCATCTGTGTTAGTCACTTTTGTGCACTCCTACCAAATCCTGAGAGAATCAACTTATAAAGAAGAAAGCTTTATTTTGGCTCATGATTTCAGAGTTTCAGTCTGGTCACGTGGCTCTATTCCCTTGGACCTGTGATGGCACAGTACCTCATGGCAGGTGTATGTGGCAGAGGAGGTGCCCAATCACCTCATGGCAGCCAGTAAGCAAAGGAAGAAAGGAAAGGGCTAAGACCCTCAAAAGCCCCTTCATGGGCATGCCCCCAGTAACCTAACCGATTTCTACTCTTTAAGAGGTTCCCACCACCTCCCAAGAGCACTATAGGCTAATGCCCAAACCTTTAACACATGGGGACATTCAAGATCTAAACTATAGTACCACCTAACTTGGCTTCAAACAGCTGGATCCTGACAAAGGTCAGGAACAAGAGCTTTAGATTCTTCTTCTCACTGTCCCCACCTTCCCTTTACAAAGTCTTGGCCCCATATTTTCCCATCTGTTGACTTCATTCTCAGGTTGGCTCTTTACATGGAGGCAGCAATGACCTCTGAATCTCCAGGTTCTCTTGGCCTTTGGCTATGGTGATTTCAGATGAGCAAGGTCGTCCCTCTTCTGTAATCCATAGCAGTTCTAAAAAAAAAAAAAAAAAAAAAAATGAGGACACTTACAGGGTGTGTTATGGTGTCAAAGGACTGGGAGAGGAGCCCTTCCCCAGAATGAAAAGAGAAACTAGAGTATCAGAAGACGGGAGAGCCGCCCCCTCCCCCTGCACCGGCAAGGTAGAGGGAACTGTGACCACGCACAGAGCAGGCCCAGCGGCCTGCTGAGGGGCAGAGCCGCCCCCCACCCCCCGCGCCTGCCAGGTAGGGGAACTGTGACCACAGACAGAAAAGGCCCAGTGGCCCGCGGCGGGACAGAGCTTCCAATCACTCCTGCAAGGTAGGCGGGCCTGCAACCCACCGGCAGAAGAGGAGCAGCGGCCTGCTGAGAGGCAGAGCCGCCCCCTCCCCCCCGCGCCTGCAAGGTAGACGGAACTGTGACCACCATCAGAACAGGCCAGACCTGCAACTGAGAGACAGAACAGGCCCAGTGGCCTGAGGAAGGGTAGAGCCGCCCCCCCCCCCCGCGCCTGCAAGGTAGGCGGACCTGCGACCCACTGGCAGTACAGCCCCAGAGGCCTGCAGAGGGGCAGTGCCGCTGCCTGCGCCTGCAAAGTAGACAGAACTGTGACCACCGACAGAACAAGCCTAGCGGCCCGCAGAGGGACAGAGCCGCCGCCCGCGCCTGCGAGGGAGACTTTGCAACTATACAAGACCAATATAAATATATAGGGGGAAAATTCAATAGCACAACAGTTTCACCAAGTAGAAAGGAACGCGAACAGTATGAAGAGACAAGGAAAGAAAGGACCACAAGCATTGCAGGTCAACTCAACGTTAGAAGAGGTAATAGCTGCAGCAGATGGAATGTCAGATAAAGAATTCAGGATATACATGCTTCAGATGATCTGGAGTCTCAAGGAAGACATCAGACAGCAAAATCAGACAATGAAAGATCACTTCAACAATGAATTACATAAACAAATCCAAGAAGCAAAAGATCAACTATACAGGGAAATAGAGGTTATAAAAAACAAACAAACAGAAATCCTAGAAATGCAGGAAGCAATAAGCCAACTTAAAAACTCAATTGAGAATACTACCAGCAGAGTAGAACACTTAGAAGACAGAACATCAGACAATGAAGATAAAGTATTTCAACTTGAAAAGAACATAGACAGCTCAGCAAGACTGTTAAGAAACCATGAGTAGAACATCCAAGAAATATGGGATAACATCAAGAGACCAAATTTAAGAGTCATTGGGATACAGGAAGGGACAGAGTTTCAAACCAAAGGAATGAGCAATCTATTCAATGAAATAATACGAGAAAACTTCCCAGACTTGAAGAATGAGACAGAACCCCAAATCCTAGAAGCCTACAGGACGCCGAATGTGCAAAATCATAAGAGACCCACACCTAGACACATTATAATGAAGATGCCCAACATACAGAATAAGGAGAGAATTTTAAAAGCTACAAGAGAAAGGAAGCAGATCACATTTAGGGGTAAGCCAATCAGGATAACAGCTGATCTTTCAACACAGACTCTGAAAGCTAGAACATCCTGGAATAACATATTTCAAACACTGAAAGAAAATGGGTTCCAACCAAGAATTGTGTTTCCAGCGAAATTAAGCTTCAGGATGGAAGATGAAATTAAAACCTTCCACGATAAACAAAAGTTAAAAGAATTTGCAGCTAGAAAACCATCTCTTCAAAACATCCTTGGCAAAACATTACAGGAAGAGGAAATGGAAAATAACAATGAAAACCAACAGTGGGAGGTAGGACACTAAAGGGGGGAAAATAATCAAAGAGGAAAACAAACCATGTTTAGTAACATAAATAAACAAATATGGCTGGAAGAACAACCCATATCTCAATAATAACCCTAAATGTTAATGGCTTAAACTCACCAATCAAGAGACACAGGCTAGTAGAATGGATCACAAAACAAGACCCAACAATATGCTGCCTACAGGAGACGCATTTGATAGGAAAAGACATACATAGGCTGAAGGTGAAAGGTTGGGAAAAATCATATCACTCATATGGACTTCGGAAACAAGCAGGAGTATCCATACTCATATCAAATAAAATAGATTTCAAGCCAAAGTTAATCAAAAGGGATAAAGAGGGATACTACATACTGCTCAAGGGAACCATACACCAACAAGACATAACAATCATAAATATATATGCCCCAAACAATGGTGCAGCTATGTTCATCAAACAAACTCTTCTCAAGTTCAAGAGTCTAATAGACCACCATACAATAATCATGGGAGACTTCAACACACCTCTATCACCACTGGACAGATCTTCCAAACAAAAGTTGAGTATCAGAAGACGGTGAAATGGGTGCTGGGAAGGAAAAACACTTTTTTTTTTGCATGCCCAACAGTATTCACCTTCATTCTCAAAAGTTTGGAAAATGGAACATACGGCACAAGCCGGCTGGAGCACAGCAGATTCTTAGTGAGCACTAAGTTGTTGAAAATGGGGGGAAAAAAGAAAAATGTATAACCCTTGTCCATGTTTCACTTAATTGATTTATTAAGAGAATTATACAGAATTATACAGTGACACTAAGACTTGGAGAATCATTGAGCAAATCTCCTGCCACCACTCAACATCAAGGTTCTCCAGTCTCTGACTTTGAAATGACACCATATTGGGTGTCTCTTCTGTAATCTGGATGGATGGAGTGAACCAAGTACCAATGGGAAGGAAAATCTAAGAATGTACATTCTACATAAAAAACATGAGTCAGACTGAAGGGGAGAAAACCATTTTAAAGACATTAAGATTGCTAGAAGAGCTATTCTGAAGTTCAATAACGTTTTCTAGGCTCTGGTTAATACATTTTTTCATTCTTAGCCTTCCATTCATTCTGAGACCAAGTTATCTCATTGAAATATATGGTTTACAGAAGAATCCCTATGCCTAGGGGGCTGGAAAATAAGGTTTACAAAGAAAAAAAAAGAATTATATCTATTTAAAATTAATCCAGAAAGATTTTATATGGCTTATGAATAATTGAATGTTTTCATTCTGCAGAAAGCAGTTATTCTCTCATTTTGAGGAAAGAAGACTTGTCCTATAACAGAATATATTTAATTTGGATGTTGTAACATACAAGAAAATTATCAAGGAAAGAGATGGATATTCATGTAAGAACCTAGGGAATTGGTTATCCCACTTCTTGGGATAACTTAGGTCAGCAATATCCATAGAAACATAATACAAATCTCATCTTAAATGTTGCAATAGTCATCTTAAAAGAAAAAAAAGTAAAAAGAAACTGGACTGGGGTACAGCTAGTGGTAAAGAACTTGCCTGGCATGTGCAAGGCCTAGATTCAGTCCCAGCATGGCTAAATAAATAACTAGAAACAAGCAAATTTAATTATAACAACATTTTACATTATTGATGAGATAGCCTACTTTTTTCATACTGAGCCTTGTGTTTTTTAAAATCTCAGTTCTGAGTGGCCCCATTTCAAGCACGATTGCCCACCCTTTGTGGTTAGTGGCTACAATATTAGAGCCGATTTACTTGCAGGACCCCATAAGAAAAACCTGCCTTGTGTTTCTTTTGCAGAAGAGGACAAAAGAAAAGTTGGTGCACGTCCTTTCTCTGTGTGGCCAAGAAGTAGGATTAAGCAAAAACCCATCCGTAAGTCCTAGCACACATCACGGTTATTTTGTTATGTATGGTCTTTTGGTTTACTCTATTTTTGCCATTGATCATATAGTTTAAGATTCTATCATGAAAAACAAGGATGATATCCATCATCTACACCAAACCCATGGATTATTCCTCCCCATTTCATGATTTTTAATCTCACTTATTTAGAAACAAGGAAAATATTTATTGGCTCTAATTCCTCTTGGATATAATTTTACTCTGGACACCCATACCTTGCTGTGATGTCATTATTTTACTCATGTACAGTAAAGATGAAAATAATGACAAAACTTAGCATGTTGTAGAAACATTATATTGTTAACATCACAATGCTTAAAAAATAAACATTGCAAAGTTTTTAGTGATTTTTTTTTCTCATTAACTTTCACTGAAAAAAAAAATGCCATTAGGCTTGTGAGTGACATGACTGAAATATATAAGCAAACTTGTGAAGCTTATAAAATTCAGAAATTTAGATTGTGTACACAAACATATTATATAGTACAAATGTTAGGGTATGATTTCACCAAGAATTTTTATTTCATCTATATCACAGCATCTTTATTATTTATGAAAAAGAAATAGCAAATTAAATGATTTACCAAGTAAGAATTAGAAGAACAATTTCTCTGCAGAGCCATTTTTAAAATCCCATACTCTATCTTAGTACTAATGTTGTTCACAATTAGGTGAAGTGTTAGAGGCTTGTAAGTACTTGCACAAGTACAAATTGATATTTCTTTCCATCTCAAAAGTATCCCATCCATCAACTAAGTGACTTAAGTGGCCTCTGCTTTTTAGATGAGTGGCTTATTGATCCTGTGACATTACTTAGGGCAGAGGGGATGGTGGCAGGGGCAGACAGAGCCTCCTAGCACACAAGGGAGAGAAACAAGAGCATTTTGCCACTGTGACTGGCACTTCTTCAGGTTCATACTGTCTGCCCCTATGAAAGCCTTTACCAGCTAGAAATATTTACCTGAAGTACTTTACAAATAAGATAAGTTCTTAACTAGGAAAATGAGCCTTCAGCTGAGGAAATCTGAATTCTGTTTCTCCTCTCTCATTGACCAGCTGACTGGCCCTCAGTGCTGTTTATCTCACCTACCCATTTGCAATCCCAGAACAAAATTATGCATCATATACCATTTCCTGAGCATACAGGTTGAATATCCCTTATATATTTTCAATATCCCCCTAAAATGTTTGGGACCAGAAGTATTTCAGGTTTCAGCACTTTGGATTTTGAAATTATTTGCATAGACTTTACGCATTGAGTAACCCTAACCTGAGAATTCAGACTTCATAAAATCTGAAAATTTTGCCAGGCACGATGGTACACACCTGTAATCTCAGCAGCTTGTGAGCCTGAAGCAGAGGATTGCAAGTTCAAAGCCAGCATCAGCTTCAACGAGGCACCAAGCAACTCAGTGAGACCCTGTCTCTAAATAAAATACAAAATAGGGCTAGAGATGTGGTTGAGTGCCCCTGAGTTCAATCCCCAGTACCCCCCCCCCCAAAAAAATGAATATTTTGATCATGTCAACACTCAAAAAGTTTCAGATTCTGGATTTTCAGATTTGGGGTATTCAACAGTATAGTATATATCTTACAACTTAAACACTAGAGGAAAAAAACTATATTTAAAGTCCCTTCGCTCTTTTTTACTCTAAGAATTTAAATACAACTGACATTTTTTCCATAGACTTCCCCATTTTTCAAAGACTGAAACATAATGGTTACATAAAATCACTGTTAATTTTACTTAATTTCAGCCTATGCTCAGTAGATACTGACTAGCAAAACCTTTAGGTTTATTCAAAGTTCATTGTTTCTACAAAGTGCTATTACAATGGCTCAGTAAAAAAGAAACCTAAATGTAGAATTTTAAAACATTAACATATTACAGATTTGTTTAACTCAAAAGGACAGAAATTTAAGTACAAATTATGGGCATGGTATTCATCTTTTCTGCAATTCCAATGAGAAGTACTATTCTTTTGGCTTCTATTTCTTATTCCTTACCAGTTCCTGGTTTATCTCTAAAAGGGCTAAAATCTTTGTTCCTATGGTTCATTCTGTAATAAGCTATCATCTATGTGTATTTGACATATACGTGCTTGTGACTGTGTACAATATCTCATTTTAATTAGGTCAGAAACACTGGGAAACAGTCTTAGTGTTCCAGTTTGTGAACACATGCTCAGTTTTCAGTCTCTCTCACACACACAGTTAGTGTCCCGTCTTTATCCATTAACAGGCAGCAATTCTACTCCTCACCGTTTTCCTGGTGCATGAACTTGCATCTTTGCGAGGAGTTTAATCCAAAGGCACCTGTCCAACATAAATAATAAAAGAACATTCTAAAAATACCCACTTAAGGAATTAGGTGTGTACTGGAAATACAGTGCTATGAAGAGCCAATTACTGTTTTTCATAGCACAAACAACTGAAGGCAGACCAGTTTCTCAGGAGAGGGCTCTTTTGACTCGTAGGTGATTTTTTCCTCGTGTGGGGACTTGGATCTGCTGGAGCATCAGACAAGCCTGGTATCTTCCGAGGACGGCGCCAGGGAACAGGAGAACATGGACGACACAAACAGCGAGCAGCAGTTTAGAGTCTTTAGGGACTTCGATTTCCTAGACGTGGAGCTGGAGGATGGAGAGGTACAGTTACATTCTCTATAAAAATAATCCCCTTCGGAACTTGCCCTTGACTAACAAAACTGTCTTTCTACCTGCTAAATAGAACATTTTTGTAACAAGGTCTTTAGCTGGAAAGCTCTAAACTCTGTTTTGAATCAATTTATTCAAAGTACAACGGTTTAACTTTGGCAAAAGTTGCCACACCCTTCCTGAGTCCGAAGCACAGCTGCCAAGTCATTTCTAAATGACAAAGATCTGAGTGGTAACGACCACACAGAGACTGTGTGTTTACAGTCCAAAGGGGATCTTAAAAAAAAAAAAAAAATCACAAAAACACTTCAGTTCTGAGCCTGTTCACTGGCACCTGGGCAAATATGCTAAGCATTTAACTATTTTAAATGTAAAGTTGCTCTGAGTCTCTAATTCCTTACTTCACAACTTGCCTGCCTCAACACGAGAGTCAACACGAGATGAGACGGGAGCCCTCAGGGCTCCAGCATCTCTGTGCGCTGTTTGATGAAGTCATTAGAACCTGAAACAAAGCACAGGAGAGCTCTCTGCCCTGATTTAGTTTGGTGGCCAGCATTCCAGACACCTGGAGCAGCTGAATTCAAGCCTCAACAGGCAAATACAGATTCATTTATTTTGAATGCTAATCATGTAATAAGATGCTTTCTGCTATGAATCATTTTTTTGAAAACAGGGTCTGGAGAGAGGAGCAACACCCTTGTCAGCTACCTTCCTTTCCATAGCTCAGAGGCATGTTCCAAATGATAGGCAGTCTTTTGCCCCTTGAGAATAAAAGCTCAGTTCACTTAAGTGAGATTGGTTTGGGTAAAGATACCTGTTACCCAGCCTGGCTCTCCATGTTGCTCAACATTGGCAGCTCTTATTTACCTAAATATAGTCTATTTTCCAAAGGGCTTTAAGCTAGTCTTACAATTAAAATGGAGGTTCAAATTCAAAGTTCATTATATCTGGTGGCAGAGAGGCACCTCCTTACTTAACTACAAACCTGTGAGAAAATCATGCTTTGATTAGCTTCCCTAAAACAATAGGATTACTGTCCAAGCCCCTTATGTCTAGTTGAGGCCAAAGAGCTAATGGCTGTTGTCTTACCTGGGTCATGACCACCTAGATATCTATTCCAGCAGGAGAGCTCCATGTCCTGAGAATAAATGATGGTTTCTCCACTGATTATTTCCCTGAAAAATACATTGAGCAAACCCAGCCCTTAGTAGAAAAGCACTGACTGGGGCAAGAGGTGCAGCTCAGCTGTAGAGCACTTGCTTGACATGCCTGAGGTCCTGGTTTTGGGAGGCAAGGGGGTAGCTAAAGGCCCTGATTGCAGTGTATGCGTCAAGTCTCAGCTTCATTTTCACCTTGAATTGTCTAGAACCAAGAAAAGTACTGTAGAGATTTCTGTTAAATGTTTTCTCTATCATCAATTATGGTTATTAAATGCAGTAAGGATTATTTTTAAAGTCTAAAGCAAAACACAACTGTTTTGAATTCCTTCTCAATGTTTCTGAACCAGAGCTGAGTGTTCAACTAAGGTCAAAAGATTAGCTCCCTGGTCTGGCAACTGACCTAATGTTTGCGTTTAAGCTAAAATTTAAGCTCAGGCACCTGATTCATTCTGGAAGTTAAACTAGGGAGGGAAAAACCTGACAAAGCAAGAGAAACATCATTTTCCTGTCCCATCCAGAGAAAAATGTTATGCTGAGTGACCTAGCACTAATGGTATAAAGTGGAGAGATCAGACACAATTTTAGAACAACTAACAAATCTAATTTCTGTCAAAGGAGGGGACTGGGGATGTTGCTCAGTGGTAGAGTGTGTCCTTAGCAGGTATGGAGGCTCAGCTCTGGATTTAATCCTCAGCATCACAAAAATAAAAAATAAGATAGGGAAAAATCAGAGATGCTCATCTCTTCAAAACAAATGTTACATTAATGTTTTCCAGGGACAATAAATAATACTACATGTACCTCCCTTTTGTTCTCTATTATCTCTATTGTCCTAGGCAACAAAAAACAATTACAAAGATCATTTCATCTTTTATGATTAAGATTTTATAAGAAACTCAAGGGACTAAGAGTGCATTTTACCCAAATAAAATAAGCCATTTTAAAGCCAGACACTGTGGTGGGTATCTGTAGTCTCAGCTACTTGGGAGGCTGAGACAGGAAGATTGCTTGAGCCCAAAAGTTCAAGGCCAATTTAGTCAACATAGACCATGTCTCAAAAAGAAAACACTGAGAATGTTTGCTATAATAAGGAGTTTTAACATGCTTACAGAACTGTAGAGTGAATGTGCTTGGACTTCAGAGTCCCCAGCTCCAAGTTAGGATTTCATCTCTGCTGGTGACCTAGCCATGTGACCGTAAACATAGGTATAGTTCTTCCTGGTTTCTACCTGCTCATCTGTCCAATGGGTCTAATAATCCTGCCTGCAGAATTGATGTAAGGCTTAATAAGATAACCTATGTAGAGCCTCTAGGACAGTGCCAGGTACATAATGGTATTCTTAGGGTCAGTCCCTTGTCCCATAATTGGTGAATAATTTTAGAATAACCTGACTGGGGAAAGTTAAACATATTTGGCTTCTCTAGCCAAACAGTTGTCAAAACAAAGATAGATTGTTTTTGTCGTGTCTATTCCTTTTCATTAAATGGTCTCAAGAATTTGCTGGGGTTGTAGCTCAGAGATAGAGCACTTGCCTAGCATATGTGAGGCCCTGGGTTCGATCCCAAACACCACATACAAAACTAAATAAACAAAATTGTATTGTGTCCCTCTACAACTAAATATAATTTTTTAAAAAGGTCTCAGGAATTTGTTGAATAATATCTGTATAAAGGGGTTTTGCCCTTGAACTTTTCTGAACGCTTTAGTTACTGTGTCTTGGCTATTAATTACACACCCACACCAGACAGATCATGATCACAAACACTTTTAGCTTTGTGAGCAGGATCAGGTGAAGCCACCTTTTTTCCCCAGTTGATGACCCTCATTCATTTTCTCATGACATTCAACATTTTCTCACAAATAATTACTTAGGCATTCAAAAAAAAAAAAAAAAGTGTTGAGTAGACCAAAATTGTCACTGAAGTGGAAAGCTATTTCAGAAGTGGTACTTATGATTTGTTACCCAGCTGCATGATCCACCACTCACTAGGAGATGTGGAACTTCTGATGTTTAATACTGATTTTTTTCTTTGGGGGTAGCATATATTTATCTTTTTTTAAGCTGTGACTACTGAAGTGTATATTGCTAGTATTATTATTGCTGTTGTGTTAAAACTAAGAAAGTATCTTGAGTATCCTTAATGATCATTTTAAATAGACCTTTTATTTGTTTTTCTGTCCATTCAATCTGCTACCCAGGAACTTCAGGTAAGATGATGCTATTTTTAATTAGATATGCTAGTAGTAGATGTTTTGCATCATTGCAGTCTTATAACAACATAATTGCTTTTTTTTCCTCCCTTTCAGCAAATGTATGCTTATTTGCTTGTTTATTTCTACTTCAGTGTGTGTGATATAAGAGGTATCTTTCTTGGCTGCTCTGTTATAAAGTTATTTTCAAAAACGTAAATATAAGATTTTTTTTAAGAAACCTTTATATGCCTAGTACTAGATATTGTATGATTGTATTTTGAGAGAAAGTGAATCTTCAAATATGATTGTGGAAATCCTATAATTTCTGATTAGGCATTTATATAACTGGATGGATTTTGTTGTAAAATTATTCTATTAAAAGTGAAGTGGTGGCTGGGGATATAGCTTAATTAGTACAGTGCTCACATGCACAAGGCCCTGGGTTCAAACCTCAGCACCACACACACAAAAGTGAAGTGGGGTTGCGTGTAGCTCAAGTGGTGAAAAATGTACTTAGTATGCACAAGGCCCTGGATTTTATCTGCAGCCCACAAAAACTATAAAGTAAAATCAACAATCTGCTGCCAACAATATACCATTTATAATTCCAATGAAATGTTTTTGTTTTCCAAGAATTAGAAGCTATCTCTGTATGGTGACTAGATAAATTTTCATCTAAACCAGGGCTCTTCCAAATAAAAAAGGGTGCCAGTAATAATTATGTCCAGACAACAATTATGTGGCATAAACCTGGATCATGTTGGGCATATTGACTTATGATCATTATGTTTATGTCACATCAGATTGTTGCAGAAGCTTCCTGCAACGATAGTTCTTTTTTAACTCTGAGTGTAGCTTCAACCTTGGGTTTAATCTCCAGCATTCAAAAAAGAAAAGAAAAAAAAACATTTGACAGGGTTCCAATATGAAAAAGTTATTTCAAAGAATATTATTTCTAACATTTCTAGAATATGTACATGATAATACTTTACTATCCTAGTATAAATACTAAATGGAATATGTTTGATAACTATATGTGAGTTGTCCTTTAGAATAATTAGCTGTCCTCTACATTTTTTCACATATAAGATAATCTGGCATTGTTAATAAAACTGTTTTGACTTCTAAGTTTGTAACATAAAATGCAAATCTGACCTTCCGGGGAGAGAAAGAATTGAGCATGGCTTCCCCGTTAGGGATATCTCTGTGCCATACTGAGCAAACCTGGTTGACTTTTAATCACCATGGACTTTTTGCACATGTTGAGGATTGAACTCAGGGCTTTGCACCTTCTAAGCACATATCTACCTCTAAGCTACACCCTATCCCTATCACCATGGACTTCAACTGGGATTAGACTATAACCCTGCTCCATCTCAATTCCTCAACCCCCTCTAGGGAAATAAATTCAATACCTTTGCCTCTAATGGAACTGTCACATCCTCTAGCAATAGACCTTATTCCTGCAAGAAAAGTTTTCCCTCCTCCCCCTCCCTCTTCTCATGCCAGATGGATTCAGGTCTTCCCAGAGCTGCCACCAAGCAGTAGCAGCCATCTATGCCCAGGGTATCTATATTGCTCTGCAGGCTCATAACTGTCTCAGGATAAGTTTGGGAATTGTTCAAAATTGTTGCTTAAGATATCTCATTCAAACCATCATTCATTTGGTATAAGAAAATCAGTTTTGTGAATTTGTTTGTATATTTCTCCCAATAATTTTCACATTCTTCTTGAATAGTCTGTTTTTCTTTTTTCCTTTCTTCACACACTGCATTTGCCTTATCTTCCAAATTCTTTTACATATTTTTTTCACTGTAGTGGTTATTTTAAAATCCCAACAAAGCAGTTAGTCTTTGTTAGTCTTTTCCACTAGGAAAAAAAATTATCTGGTGGTGAACAGATAGAGGTTGAGTACCCTTACCAGAAATGCTTGGGAGCAAGAAGTGTTTCCAATTTCAGATTTTTTGAGATTTGGAAATATTTGTACATACATAATAAGGGATCTTGGGGATAGAACCCAAGCATAAATGTGAAATTCATTTGTGTTTCAAACATACCTTATACACATAGCCTAAATGTAATTCTATACACTGTTTTTAGTGGTTTTGTGTCTTGACCATTATACTTTACATGAGGTATCGAAAATTCTACTTGGGGTGTCTTGACAAAAAAGTCTTTGATTTTGAAGCATTTCAGATTTCAAATTAGAGATGCCTGATCTGTACAGATAAAATAGGAGATATAAAACATGAAAAACATTCTAAGTTGGCTTTCTCTTTATGTTTATGATTGTTGTTAGTACTGTTTTGATTATAAAGAGGGATGAATAATGATAATAATTTCCATATTCTATCCAGAATAATGTGCTTAGGATTCTTGCCTTCTACCAAGAATAGCCAAAACAGACTTTGGAAAAGCTAAGCATCTATCTCCTGAGAGGTCTTGAGAATGGCAAACTGTTGGAGCCAGAAACAAGACTCTTAAACTTAGCGTTGCATTTATTCATTTTCCTATGGTTTAATAGTAATTGGCATCTCTCAGATTAGTAAGTTGTCCACTGAGCTCCCATCAGAGGAGGTACCTTATTTCTGTGGACTATTGGGCACTGTTTCAAATTACCAAGAAATGAAAGGATTTGGTGCCAGATTTTATTATAAATTACCCTTTTGCTTAGGTAAAAATTTTCTAGTTTGCAGGCTGGAAAATATTTCTCTTTAAAACAGTTATGTGGCCAACTAAGCCAGTTCTTAGTAAATCAGAATATAAAAGTCGGCCATAATCTTTGGTATTGATGTACAAAATTAACTATTTTCCAGGTTGG